AGGGGCCCCAGTGGGACCAGAAAGCCGAGGTGTCCAATGTTCCAGCCTTGCCTCAGGGGCACCTTGGTGACTGTGTGTCTGCAGGGCAGTGGGGAGTGGGGGGCTGGTGCTGGGGCCTTGCACCTGAGCCCCTTCCCCAAGGCCACCCTGGCTGGGGAAGCCAAGGCCGGGCCGAGGGCTGTGGTCCTTCATCTCAGCAAACCTCACTGCCCAGCCCTAAGTGGGCAGAGTGGACAGTGGCTGGTTCTAGGTGGGCACCCACCCCAGCACCCTCTGGGAGGTGGGAGCAGGAGGCATGCGCTTCACAGGAGCAGAAAAGCAGGGCCTGAGCAGCCACGCCAGCAAGTCCAGAAGTGCCAGAGCCCCAGCCCAGGCCTCCTGTGCCTTCATCCAGGCACAGGGTTGAGTCCATCCGCAGCCAGGCCAGGAGGCCCACGGGAGCGTCTCCTTTTGCTCCCGCTCCTCCGCCTTCACCCCCCCACGTGTTATGTCCCCAAACCCAAGGGTGTCCCTGTACACTCGTGTCCTTTTATGGAGCGGTGATTCCATAAAGGGTGTGTGTGCCTATCTCCGCCTCTCATCTCACGCAACACCGTCATGGGATCTACCTGTGCCACTGTCTGCACATCTGGCTCGTTGTTCCTAATCTCTGCAGAACATTCCAGAGCCTGCACTGCCCTGGACTTGTCCTTTCTGCTAACTGGCGCCTGACGCCCTCTACCGCCAGCCACGCAGTCGTGCACCCTCCTCACGTGCCCTCCGGTGGCCGTGGGCTGGGACCTCAGGGCATTAGACGCACTAAGTGCAGCAGGCTCCAGGGCTGTCCCCAGGGGTCCCTCATTCCCCGTGCTTCACTTAGAACGCTCTGACCCTCTAACTTTTGCCCTCGTGGGAGTAAAGCCATATTCCAGGGTTCCGAGTTGCAGATCTCTGGTCCTGGCAGGACCGTCCTCTCCTTACTCTGGCTGGCCATTCGGTCACCATGACTTCTGCTCACTTCCTGTGTCCATCGTTCTGTGTACCGAGTAAAGCCATATTCCAGGGTTCCGAGTTGCAGATCTCTGGTCCTGGCAGGACCGTCCTCTCCTTACACTGGCTGGCCATTCGGTCACCATGACTTCTGCTCACTTCCTGTGTCCATCGTTCTGTGTACCCATTGTCCATATCAGACCCTTGACCATTTTAGACGTTGCTGATCGTGCTCCCAGCTGCCACCTGTTGACTCCGTTGATGGGCCTTTCATTCAAAACTGGAATTGCATCCGATCTAAGGACTGGGGGTGGGTGACATTATTACATCACATTCATCCCCCCCACCCCATTGTCTTCCTTTTTCAGGTCCCCTTCATAAGCCTTTAAAACCTCTACTGAAAGAGTTAAGCAAATGAGGAAACTTTCTTCAGATGCATTCCCATACATTTATGGGTCTTGCTGCCACGTTGGACGGTGTTGCACATCTAGTTGGTTGTTGCTGGTGTTGAAGAATTACTGGGTTTTGTAGGTTTTGTGAAATTTATGTATTTTATGTTATTTTATTGCCAACCTTGTTGAATTCTCATTAGTTGTAACAATTGGTCTGTTGACCCTTTTGAGTCTTCTACAGGGGGCATCCTGTCCCCTGAAAACCATCGTGGGTTTTCTCTTCCCTGCAGATCCTCTCACCTCCAGTTTTTTTCTCCTCTGACATCACTGCTTAGGGCCTTCCGAGCTCTGCTGAGATGGGGGAGGAATGACCATATGCAGACATCATCTTCTGATGCTTGACCCTCTCGGGGATTTACCCCTGCAACGACGTTGACCGAGCCCACCCACATCCAGGCCCAGGTTCCAGCATGAAGCAAGCAGTGCCCCTGCCTCCTCAGACCTAATGGGGAAGGCTGGTCAACCACGAGCTCTGGGATGTAATGTCAGGGCTGTGCAGAACAGTAACCGTGCAATCAGGACCAGGTGACGGTGCTGGAATCGTTTGAACAGACCTAAATTCACTGGTTTCTCCACTAAACATGACGCTTGCACACAACCACTGTCAAGAAAGTTCCCTTCTGTACCCAGTTTTCCAAGAATTAAAATCCTAAACAGGTGTTGAACTCTGTTGAATGTTCTTTTTGCTCTGATCAGGACAATCGTCTGGTTTCTCTTCTCCCCGGATACATGGACACATTTTCTGATGTTAAACTGTCCTTCCATTTGACCAAGCCCAATCCCCATTTGATCAACTTGATAACATTTTTAAATACTTTTACTCGAATAGCTAATGCTTTATGTAGGATTTTTGCGTACATGCCATGGTGCTTGTACCGTCCCCACCTGGTTTTAGAACCATGTTCTATACAGGCCTCATGAAATGAGGTGAGGTGCTTTTCCTGTTTAAAGTTTCTGGAACACATCGTATTAGATAGATTCAGTGTCTTGAACGTCAGGTACACCATGCACCCCAGCATCTGTGCCAGGGTGGGGTTTACAGGGGCTGGTGGCAGAGGGAGATGCAGGCAGATCTCTCATTATTACTTGCATTTACTTCAACTACTGGTTCGTTCATGTTTTTAAATATCTACTTATCCCAATCCTGACATTTTACGCCTTCCCAAAAATCTATCCATTTTCCTAAGTTTTCAAAGTTATTGGTACCGATTTGTTCATAATATTCTTTTTTTTATGTGTTACTCTCTATTGTGTCTGTAGTTAATTCTTCCTTCTTCTGTATATATTTTTTTCTTGCTTCATGTTTAAAAACTCGTCAGTCTTGCTAGTTTTTTTATTAGTCTTCAAAGAAAGAAATTGGGTTTTCTTAAATGTTTCTCCATTTGCTGAGTGTAAAGCTTATATACATAGATACAAAGGTGTACATACATGAATAAACCATATAAGTATGAACACACATGGAGCATGGGTGGAGGCTGGTCCACATTTTTTCATCGCTGCGTCTTGTTTGTTCAACCCGTTGGTTTTTGTAAAGAGCTTGTTAAAATCACCAGCTAAAATTATTTACTTCTACCTGTTACGTCCAACACTGCTCTATAAATGTGTGTGTGTGTGTGTGTGTGTGTATAAATGTATAGACACAGGCTTTTCACCCTGAAATAGAAACGCCCGCCCCGGCCAGCTTTCCTTTGCATGTTTCTTTGTCCGTCCTTCGAGTATAACTTTTGTGGTCAAGATACTGTCGATTATATTTTTAATGCAGTCTAGGGGTCTGTTTTTCAATCATCGATTGTAACCATTTTACATTAGATTTATTACCCTATTTTCTCTTTATTATGCTCTGTTTTCCCTCCTTTCCCGCCTTCCATTGGACAGATTAAATTTCCCGCGGACCGTGTAGATGCGGAGCATCCTCGTGGCTACTTCTCTCTCATTAATCTGCACTTAGGCTTCTGCCTTAGCACTTTCTGCAGCTGGTCACCGTCCACATCTTCCACCGAGCAGGACGAGGGTCACCTCCCTGTGGTGAGACCGTCTGAGGCTCCCATTGTAGAGTAATAGGACTATTTCGATTCTCTGCGAGTGGCTGGGCCACATGGGAGATGTGGGACTTCGTCCCCCACAGCACTCTCTGGGTTTCTCTCCCTTCCTGCTGGAGAACTTTTTCTAAGATCATTTTCAAATCAGGTTTTTGTGGTAAATGTACTGAGAGGCCTTGGAGACTGTGTGTCGGTGATAGTTTAGCAGGACATAAAATTCAGGTTTCAAAACTGTTGTCTTCAGCCCCCAGAAGATAGAACATGGCTGTTTTCTGGCTTCTGGTGTTTCTCTTGTAAAGTGTAATGTCAGGCTGGTTCCCATCCCTCTTTTCTCCTCTGGGCACTTTAGAATTTCTCTTAGCTGCGGATGCTCTTAAAGTTCTGTGGACCGTGGCTTTTCCATTTGTGTTTTGTTTGCCCTGTGCGCCCTTCCAGCCTGAGACCGCTCTGCAGATCTGGGAAGGCCTGTTCGCCCGCTTCATGCCAATGGCGCCTTCCTTCTTGAGGACCTCAGCCGGATGGATGCTGATCGACACTTCCTTCACCCCCGTCGGTTAGTCTCGCTTTTGTGTGCTCTCTCTTGAGTCCTCTCTGCTGCCTCCCGAGCTGGAAATCCGTTACCGAGGGGTTTCCGCTCTCCCGTCCGTGGGACGCGCCCCTTCGCCTTGCACATTTTCCATGCCCAGGCTCCACAACCGCGTCTTTGCAGTCTGTTCCACGTCACGTTTCCACTCTGCCACCCCTTATCCCTGCATTGACTTCAGAGTCTTAATACTTTACTTTGGAGTCTGCTTGGCTTTCTCTACTGTATGTCATTCCCTTGTCGTCTGTCTGTCTAGGGTCACCAAGCCCATTGGGATCCTCCCCGTACCCCTCAGGTGCCCCTGGGAGTATCAGCTACCTTGACTGGTGTTGGAGGGGAGGGGAGAGGGGGCTACAGCCCAGACCGAAGGGGGCTTTCTTCGGGTGGGAGGTGGAGGCAGAGTCTCAGGGCAGTGTCCATGTCACAGTTGGGTCCAGCCCGCTCCACTGGCCACCACCCTCTGGAGAAGCCCCGCACCCCCCACCTGTGCTCTGCGTGCCACCCTTCCAGGTGACCTCTGCCTTGGCCCGTGAGCACCACCCCCTCAGGAGGATGGCCTGTCCCCCCTCCGCCACCACTGCTGAGGCTGGTGTAGGGCAGGTGGGAAAAGCTGAACTCAGGTCGGCCCTGTGCAGGCTGCTCTCCACACCAGCCCTGCCCTTGGGGCCCTGCCCTCCTTCCCCTGGGCCATTCTCCCCACAGGCATGTCCTGGGACTGGCCCCTTTCTAGGGCTCAGGTGCATCTGAGCCATGAGCGGGCTTTGCTGACCCATCAGCCCAGCCTGGGACAGCCCCAAAGTTCTCCTCTCCAGCACGGGAACTTGACTCTGAGGCACCTCCATCCCTGGGAAGGGCCGGGGGACCTTGTCTGGGCCTCACTGGTCCAGGGAGAGATTCCTGTTCAGTGCCCCAGGGAGGAGCCGTGCGGAACCAGCATAACACAGCACACACACAGGCCACAGGGAAGCCACTACTCCTTTAACTTACTAGGCATCACACAGTACCTGAGCCTGCAGCCTGGAGACCCCTCACGGCCCTGCAGACCTGTTTGTGGGCAGGAGATGGAGGGGCAGCTTCCAGCCAACCCAGGGCTGCGGCGGGCTTGCACAGCTGCCCACGAACACCTCCACATAAATAGGGGCCGGGCTGCGTTTCCGGGTCTGCAGCGGCTGAGCTGCAGCAGTCCCAGGCCTAGCACCAGAAGAACCTGCTCAGAGGGCGGGGGCCCCACACCTGCCCTCAGTCCTGGGGCTGCAGGGAGGGGCAGGGCTTCCTCAGCATGTTCTGCTGCCCTGTGCAGCCATGTAGCCGAGGCCTGTCCACTCGCTGGGGTTCTGCAGAGTTCCAGGCAGGGCTCCTTCCTCACGGCCACACAACCCTCACCGAGCCAGAGGCTGAACAGCTGTCCACAGCCCTTTGGAGAGAAGAGCGGGGCCAAGAGTCCTGGGCCCACGGAGTCCCTCCTTAGTTGTCACCAAAGCCTGGGTCCCTTCGGGCTGGAGCCCAGAGGCAGGGCCCCCTCAGCTAGTGCCTTGACGCCCTACTGCTGAGCCCAGATGCTGGTCTGCTGGAGGGTGGGTGTGTGGCCACTGTGGGACAAAGAGAAAGGATGGTCAGTCCAGGGTGGAGTAGAGTCTGGAAACAGCCAGGGGCCTGGGCCGACACCTCACACCTCACCCTTCCCCTCAGCAGCTAAGCCCAGAGGAGGGAAGAACAGCCCACCCCACCCTCACAGCTGTGGCCCCAGCCCCCATCTCTGAGATCCTGATTCCAGAGGTCCCCCAGCAGCAGGAACACCCACTGCCCTGTTGGCCCGTTTTTTGGACTTAACCATGACACCACCTTACCTGGGCCCTGGGCTCGGGATGGGCTCTCGGGGAGCTGGGGGGGGCCACCTGAAGGGGCACAGACAGGAGGTCACATTAGTACCCCACTCTAGGGTGGGCAACAGTTAACGGGGCAGCAAGGCCTAACCCTGCCCCAGCCTGCAGGGACCCCACTTCCCCCAGCAAGCCTCTTCCCCCATCCCACTCCTGTGCGAATGCGGGAGCCAGTCCCTCTGCCCAAATGAACATGCCCAGCCCTTCCCTTCCCCAGGCAGCAGGAGAGGTGGGAGGCGTGGTTTGGGGGCTGGATGGGGAGGGGCTTCACCCAAGTCCAAGCCAAGTCCACTCCAGGGCAGCAGCAGGGCTCAGGACCCCTGACAGCCAATGAGGCCCTGCCCATGGGGCCCAGGCTCCATAGACCTCCAGCTAAATGCCACGGCCCTGCCCGTGGTTGGCCAGTCAGCCTGTGGTGCAGTGCCACACTCGACCACCAGATGCCGCTGTGGACAGCATCTGCCACCAGCTGCAGCCTCACCCCCCCCCCCCCCC